CTGGATTCTGGGTTTCTTCACTTATGGCAGTAAGGTGCTGGAGATCCTCTTCCTGATCTTGAACTCCCAGCAGGGAACCTTCATCTTCCTGATCTACTGTGTCCTCAATAATGAGGTTATACATTTTTCCATCCTACTTTATAATAAACCATTTCATTTGCACCACAGACAGTATATGGAAGAAAAGTAAAGCAGCAGTATTTACTTCTCAAAATGCAAATCTAGTCTTTACAAAATACCTTTATGGTACCTGTTTAATATTAAAAAAATGCTCTGGTTACTAACGTGACCTCAGTTCCCTAAGATAACAGGAATAAGCATTGCATGAAACATCCTTTGGGAGAAACTCTGTTTCCTTTGGAAACTGAAGCCTGATTTGTTAACGTTCATGTAGCTGCACAAACAAATGGCATTTCAGCCCAGTAAAACGGGTGGGGCAAACTGCCTATATAAGTTGGCACTGAGTGTCATTTCAGAATCTTTCAACTGATGACCAACTGCGTTGACTCTCTTGCAGCTTCATAGCACGTACACAATGTTCCCGTTCTCGCTCCTGTTATCTCAGGGAACCGAGGTTACATTAGTAACCAGAGCATTCCCTTTCAAAATCTCACATTGTGTGAACCACATTTTGGGGAACGATGTCCAATAGCGCTGTGCTATATAAGGGCAGAACGAAAAGGAACTCCATGAGCCGAGCTCCAGGGAGCCTGATATGAGAGTCCTAAAGGAAGCATGAGCACAACAGGCCTGGAATCAGCCAGACCCTCGACAAAAAAATATCCTTGACCACTAGCAGGGACACAGGATGACTAGGTGGACAAAATCCACGCCTGAAGGGCAGGGACGTCTGGGTTATAAAAGGTAGGTAGACGGTGAAGATCCACTGGCTGCCACACAAATAGCTCCAGACTCTGCTGGACCAAGCCCAGGAAGAGGCCATTCCCCTGGTGGAGTGACAATTTATGTAGTTTCAAAGAGGAGAAGTATTATTTTTGACAGTACTTGGCAGTCCAAGGGCACTCATGCTCTGGCTTGGACTGAACTCCAGCAGGTGAGCTGGAGTGCATTAGTAGGAAGTGGCGCATAGCTTGCGCTAACTTCTGAACTGCAATGAAGCATTCTGCAAACCCGTCCACAGCCGAAAAATCTAGTGGGGGAGACTGGGGAGTCGATGGAGGCCGGACCTATCTATGGTGTGGAGGAGTTAGTTCTGGAAAACCGCCATTGTGTGGAGCGCTGAGCCAGCCTGGTCAGCCGCAGAGTAGGCCCTACCCAATAGGGCTTAGGTGGTCTTGCAGGGCTTGGATGGATGAACGGTCTTGGCTTTCAGTCCCAAAGATGAGGGTGGGCAGAGATGTGCAGTGACAGCCTCTTCAAGAGGAGGAAGCTTCTCACAGCCCTTTTCTTCACTGCCGTCAATGGATAGAAAGGAAATGAAAGCAGAAAAATGGCTGTGGGCCAAATCTTCTAAGCCGAGTAGCAGGCTTCTTCCTTCTTCTTCAGAGTCCAGCAAGGAGATGATCTTCACGCTGAAGGAAAAAGATTCTGATGAAATGGCACTCAGCGCCGACTTATATATGCAGTTGGCCCCACCCATTTTGGAAGAATGAAATGCTATTTGTTCATGCAGCTACATGAACATTAACAAATCAGTCTTCAGCATTGGGAGTAAACAGAGTTCCACCAATGCTTTTTTACAAAAGGGAACTTCATTTTTGTTCATGAGTTTTATAAGTCACTCAGCTCCTCTCATCCCATTCTTGTCCAGGTCAGGCAGCAGTACAGGAAGTTCTTCAAATGTCTTTGCTGTATCAAACAACAGGACTACAGCATCATGTTCAGAAAGTAAAAAGTACTGCTAAAGTGTCAATAATATACAGGTTAATTTATGTTTGTATTAAAATACACAGCATAATTAATGTTTTTGAATGTTAGTCTCACCTTTTTTTTGTTAATGTTATAATGTTTTGCAAAAAAGGGCAAAAAAAAAAAAAGAGAGACACCTTGAAAAATCTTACTAAATAAATTGTTTTCTTAATATAAAAGCTTTGTTTTCTTTATATAAACTTGATATTTAAAAAAAAAAAGTACTTCATGCCCATGCCCAAATGACTTTAAATTGTACAGGATCATCGTTAAAGAAAATTTTAGATGTTTAATCTGTGTATTATCTCAACAACTCAACTCACAACTGAAACAGTTTTTAAGCTTTTTTGTCTATTAAAAGGGACTTTGAAAAGATGTTTTCCAGCTGAACAGTGTATATAATTCATTAAACATGCTGTACTTGTCCCTCACAGCCCCCCACCCCCAACACACAAAAAAGAAAGAAAAAAAGAAATATGGCACTACCTTGACTAAGGTTTATCTCATATTACTTTGAATATGCCTCATGCTATCTATCTATCAAAATATATGTTTAAGATTGAGGCCCACATGTTTTATGTGTGTAATGACTTATTAACTACATTATTTTCACATTACACAAAAGAAAAACGCTCCATAATAGACTGACTCCCTATACCTAGTTTGAAATATGATACTAAATTAAATCTTCCACAGCATCTCTGTATATAAAATGTAACATACAGAACTCTATATTTTATTATTTTCTGGGTTCTGTCTGTGAAATGTCACTAATCAATTGTTATCATTCGGGAGGGAAAGTTCAGGATCAGCCATAACGGACTGCCTTGAGCAAAGACAGAGTTTAATTATTTAAAACAATATGGTAATGTGTAGCTTTTCCCTGACAAAGAACATATGCTTGTGTGATTGTTTTTTGTGTCAAAATTTGTATTTGAATTTGCATCTGAGGAGGAAAAATAGTGAATGTGGAATCAAATGTCAATATGTCTATAAACATCTCATCACACACAATACTGTTTTAGTTAGCAGTCACACAATGAATTATAGCTTATTTCCACATCACATCACTTCATGTGTCTTGATCCATCTCACAAACATCCATTTGCTGATGACATTAAGGATTCCTGCCACGGATGTTTGTTGTTTGTTTTTGTTTGGTCAGTTGCCTGCTCTTTCATATGCTGATCCCTTTGTATAATGTTAATTCATTTGTATTCATTATAATTTATTTCAGATATCTTGGCCTGTATAAGCGTCACACAAGAGTCAACCACAGCTGGTAATGTACTGCTGTGGTGTTTTGGCTGTGAATGAGTAGATCTGCAGATTAGAATATAATCCTTGGGCAAAAAAACAAAACAAAAAAACAACATGTTTCTGGTGATTCTATTAATATTGTCTACATTTCTGAAGGATACTGTATGGGAACAGCTGCTAGTAATGTCCATTTGTACCATATAATTAAAGGTTGACAATTTTGCTAATGTTGTAAAGTCAAGGGTCAAGAGCCCAACGAAGGCAAACACTAATCACCTTGATGGTAACATCAAATGAAACAATACAACATCATCATCTATATCTCTGTTAATTCTCAATAAGCGCTTTTGTAGATGTCTGACAGAAATAAAGTCAGTCTGGTTAATAATGAGTGAAGCTGGTGATGCTGTTTGTGGAGTTGTTTAATCATTCTCTGCTGAGATCACCAAAGATTTAATGTCTTTTGTATTTCAGTTGATTTCATCGAAGGCTGTGTCTGGAAGTCAGTTGTATGTTTGGAGAAGGTTCTTATAACAAAAAACTGTTAGCTGAGTGTGCACTCATGAGCTCACCATGTGAGAGCACTGTGATATCACTGTGATAGTGTTGAGAAACAGGATATAGAAAGCCTCCTCGGTGACTGATATTTGAACTGCCTCCTCTCAACCTGCTCAACATTTTGAATTCACAATGAGTTCACATATTACTCACACTGTGAGTATCACAATCAGTGGCGTAGCAAGTCAGCCCCGGGCCCATATGCAGAAAATTTTGTAGTGAGATAACTATATTCGTCTCAGTTCAAGCAGCATGTGAATCAATAATATTTTCCTCTTTAATATTTGCAGCACGAAATAAACATGAATAAATATTTGAATGCATGTTGAAAAAATCAGAACAATTTAATACAAACGAATGTTTCATGAAATCGATCAATTAGAGTTTCAAAAAACGTCAATAAGCCTACCTTTTATTGCTGTTTTTTATGTTAAATGTGAAGAATGACAGGTTGGATGCCACAGACTTTTTATTTTATTTTATTTTATTATTTATTTATTTTGGCGGAGTATAGGTGGAATTCTCACATTAACTTCACGCAATAGGCCTATAACCTGATTTTATTATCGTAATTTTGACTTTATTCTTAAAATATTATGACCTTAATCTTATTTTTCAACATGGTACTAAAATGCCGCCGTAGGCTATTTGTACTGCATGCAAATACAATCTTCGCACAGAAGCCCAAAAAACAAAAACAAACAAACAATAAATAAATAAAATACTAAGGAGATAACTGAATGATTTATTAATGACTTTTCTGAGTCAGTGTCACAAGATGAAGTTGATGGTCCTGACTCGCCATCTCCTCAGGACGCGCGCCTTTAGAGAGAAATACATCTTTACTGATTAGCCTACATAATGAAAGAGTTTTTGTTTTCTATTTGAATAATTTTGTTTCAAAGTATTTAAAGCATTCTATTAGATATATTTATCATGTCTGTGAGGAGGCAAGTATTCACTGAGTGTCGGTTCATCATTGTGAAGCGCTCCTGCTCAAGACCAAGACGACAGAAAGCGCATCCTGTTTGTTTTCCTTAATTATTTTACAAAAGCACAGGTTTTTGTTGATATTGTTTGTGAGTGCACACAAATAAATGTAGACCCTTTACAATTCCGAATGATGTATTACTCTTACCTTTATGAGCAAAAATGACGGCGTATGTTAAGTTTCCGATCTTAAGAAAAAAATGCAAGTGATCGCGCTGGCGCCTCCATGTCCTGCAAAGCGCGCTTCAGCTTCCACTCTCCGCACAAACGACTGTATATGCGTCTAACAG